GATATGCAGGATGTATTTACATTAACTGGAACATATGCCCAATATGTCCAAATTAGAATACTGGTGGGGTTGGAGGGGCATCAATTATGTCATTTAGGAGTTGTAGTTGCTGGGATTTATAGTTCACCTACAATCAAAGAGCATTCTGAACTCCACCAACAATGGAATTGAACCAGTCTTGGCACACAGAACTCCCATGACCAACAAAAAATACTGGAAGGGTTTAGTGGGCATTGACCTTGAGCTTTGGAGTGTCAGTTCACCTACATCCAGAGAGCAGGAGGAGGGCTTTTGGTGAGAGGATTCTCCTGTTTCCAAAAAGGAAGAGAAGGGCAGGCAGAGAGATCTTCAGCCTTCTCTGCCAAAGGAGTTCCATCAGAAATATATGTTTTCTGATGGTCTTTGGTGACCCCTCTGAAACCCCCCTCGTGACCCCCCCCAGCGGTCGTGACCCACAGGTTGAGAAACACTGTCTTAGGGTGAGAGAGTGTGACTTCTCCAAGGATACCTAGTGCGTAGGGACTTGAACCCTCGTTTCCCAAAAAAATCATACAATTTGACCCCACTTTCACTGCCATGGCTCAATACTGTTTATTTATGGGAGCTGTAGTTTGKTGAGGCACCAGYACTCTTTGGCAAAGAAGGTTACMRATTGTGTAAAACTACAACTCTCATGATTCCAAATCATTGACCTATGATAGTTAAAGTAATGTCAAACAGCTTTCATTCTAAAGTGTAGATCTAACTGGGGMCAGTTTTGGCCAAATTGCGACCATTGTGTGATGTGTTTTAATATTTATGTGTTTTAATGTGTTTTAATATTTATTGGGATTGTTTTGGGTAATTTTATCTTTCATTTTGTGAGCTGTCTCGATCCCCACGTTGTGAGGAAGGTAATGTATAAATAGAAGTAAATAAACACGGTAGACCAGTCTTGAAATTATTTATTATTTATTTATTTATTGCATTTGTTAACCGCCGCTCTCAGCCCTAGGGCGACTCGCGGCGGTGTACAACATATAAAAACAGTATACAATGAAGCACAACAAAATCAGCATTTCACTAATACACACTAAACTAATTTACACTAAGCTAATCCGCATCGTCATCGGAAGGCCGATCTCTCTATAGATAAAAATGTCTTTCCTGGAAGCTGTTAGCAGTAAAAATCGATATTTTAAATACGTTCCAGAGCTGTAAGGCACCATTTAAGATAAAAAAGTACCTGTTTTGCAAAAAAAACAGAAGTGAGCTTCTAAACTGCTTCCTTTTTTGGTGTTTCGTTTGGATATTTTTCAACAAACCACGTTGATTCCAGGGAAGAAAATGGGCCAATCCAGTAACTCACCCATTCCTGCTATCATTATACTATCTTCATGCTAATAAGGGCAACACTGCAGAGCTAATGCAGTTTCATACCAGTTTAACTTCCATGGCACATTATTATGGAATCATGGGAGTCACAGTTCTGCAAAGCTTTCTCTCTCCCATTGAGTTTCGGTGCCTTGCCAAAGTACATCTCTGTGGTGGTGCAACAACGGGTTAAATCACTGAGTTGCTGAACTTACTGACCGGAAGGTTGGCAGTTCGAATCTGTGGGACGGGGTGAGCTCCCACTGTTAGCCCGAGCTTCTGCCAACCTAGCAGTTCTAAAAGATTTAAACGTGAGTAGATCAATAGGTACCACCTCAGCGGGAAGGTAAATGGTGCTCCATGCAGTCATGCCAACAACATGACCTAGGAGGTGTCTACGGACAACACAGGCTCTTCCACTTGGAAATGGAGATGACAATCTACCCCAGAGCCCGAGATGAAAGGGGAAGCTTTTGCCTTTGTCTGTGTATCTGTGTTTCATTGTTTAGAGGCATTGAATGTTTGCCTGTATATAGAATAATAGAATCATTGAGTWGGAAGAGAYCTTGTGGGCCACCCAGTCCAACCCGCTGCCAAGAAGCAGGAAAATCGCATTCAAAGCACCCCAACAGATGGCCATCCAGCCTCTGCTTAAAAGCCTCCAAAGAAGGAGCCTCCACCACACTCTGGGGCAGAGAGTTCCACTTCTGAACAGCTCTCACAGTCAGGAAGTTCTTCCTTATGTTCAGCTGGAATCTCCTGTCCTGTAGTTTGAAGGCATTGTTCCRCATCCTAGTCTCCAGGGAAGCAGAAAACAAGCTTGCTCCCTCCTCTTTATGATGTCCCCTTACATATTTATGCATGGTCGCCATGTCTCCTCTCAGCCTTCTCTTCTGCAGGCTAAACATGCCCAACCMTTTTAGCCGCTCCTCATAGGGCTTGTTCTCCAGACCCTTGATCATTTTAGTCGCCCTCCTCTGGACACATTCCAGCTTGTCAACATCTCCTTTCAGTTGTGGTGCCTGGAATTGGACACAGTATTCCAGATGTGGTCTGACCAATTCTGGACATCACAACTGAAGGGAGATGTTGATATGCTGGAATCCACCCCGAGTCCTCTTGGGGAGATAGGGAGGAATAAAAATCAAGTGTTATTATATTATTATTATTATCTCCATACCACATTGAGCCATGGAAGCTAAACTGGTATGGAACGGCATTAACTCTACAGTGTATTTGCACCTCAGGAAGACAGTTGTGTCCGAAATGTAAAAAGGGAGAGAACAGCAGTCAGAAAAGCAACAGGGCCAAACCCACTGTTAAGCAACCAGCAGTTACTTGGTGTTGAGAAAGAGCAGGAAGCTGGTGATGATTTACCGTACTTTGTTCTTCTTATATTTTTACTATCAGCAATGGAAAAATGCTTCTGTGAGTTTGTACACATCCAAGGTACTAAAAACTATCAGGATAATTCCAGTTATTATTAGGCACCAAAACATGGATGTTCAGTTCTATTTGGAACACAGAGCTTGGAATAGTTGTGTAAATGGCATTTTAATGTTGACCTTAATCATTACACAATGTAACACGATTTTTGTTCCTGGGTTATACATATCATTTTTTAATTGGTTCTATCATAAAAACACAGGAAAAGTTTATTAAACTGCATAAATAGGAGTCTAGTGCCTAGATCCAGGGAAGTCATGCTACCCTTCTATTCCGCCCTGGTCAGACCACACATGGGATCACACTGTGTCCGATTCTGGGCACTGCAATTGAAGGGAGATGTTGACAAGTTGGAATGTGTCCAGAGGAGGGAGACTAAAATGATCAAGGGTCTGGGGAACAGTCCCCTTTATATACTATATAGTAGTAAAATGATATCCCTTCAACAAGGTCCCCCATGACCTTCTGGCAAACAAACTAGTCCAATGTGGGCAGCAAAATGACGGTTAAGTGGATCTGTAATTGGTTGAGTGGACGAACCCAGAGGGTGATTCTCCCCAATGTTTCCTCTTCATCCTGGAAAGAAGTGATGAGCGGAGTGCCATCAGCAGGGTTCTGTCCTGGGCCCAGTCCTGCTCAGGATCTTCATTCATGACTTAGATGAAGGGTTAGAAGGCATGATCATCAAATTTGCAGATGACACAAAATTGGGAGACATAGCTAATACCCCAGAAGGCAGGAGCAGAATTCAAAACGATCTGAACAAATTAGAGAGATGATTGGCCAAAACTAACAAAATGAAGTTCAACAGGGACAAATGCAAGATGCTCCACTTAGGCAGAAAAAATGAAATGCAAAGATACAGAATGGGGAACGCATGGCTCGAGAGCAGTATGTGTGAAAAAGATCTTGGAGTCCTTGTGGACAGGAAGTTTAATATGAGCCAACAATGTGATGCAGAGGCAAAAAAGCCAATGAGATTTTGGCCTGCATCAACATGAGCATAGTGTTTAGATCCAGGAAAGCCATGCTATCCCTCTATTCTGCCTTGGTCCGATCATACCTGGAATCACACTGTGTCCAATTCTGGGCACCACAACTGAAGGGAGATGTTGACAAGCTGGAATGTGTCCAGAGGAGGGCGACTAAAATGATCAAGGGTCTGGAGAACAAGCCCTATGAGGAGCAGCTTAAGGAGCTGGGCATGTTTAGCCTGAAGAAGAGAAGGCTGTGAGGAGATATGATAGCCATGTATAAATATGAGAGAGGAAGTCATATGGAGCAAGGTTGTTTTCTGGAGACTAGGACACAGAACAATGGCTTCATACTACAGGAAAGGAGATTCCACCTGAGCATGAGGAAGAACTTCCTAACTGTAAGGAGAACTGTTCAGCAGTGGAACTCTCTGCCCCGAAGTGTTGAGGAGGTTCCTTCTTTGGAGGCTTTTAAACTGAGGCTGTATGGCCATCTGTCGGGGGTGCTCTGAATGCAATTTTCCTGCTTCTTGGCAGGAGGTTAATGACCCATGAGGTCTCTTCCAACTCAATAATTCTGTGACACAAGACAAATATTCAATACAGACACAAGACAAATATTCAGTGCCTCTAAACAATGAAACACAGACAAGAAGGCAAAGGCTTCCCTTTTCATCTCCGGCTCTGGGGGAGATTCTTATCTACATTTCCAAGCCGAAGAGCCTGTGTTGTCCACAGACACCTCCTAGGTCATGTTGTTGGCATGACTAGATGGAGCTATGTTTACCATCCCGCTAATGCAGTACCTATTGATCTACTCACATTTTATTTTTTTCAAACTGCTAGGTTGGCAGGAGCTGGGGCTAACAGCATGAGATTCTATTATTCTAACTGTATTGAGGGGTTGCAGCATTAGGAACGTTAAGAAACACTGGACTAAAGATTCGGGGAGATCTAGATTTGCATCCCCACTCAGCCATGAAACTCCTTGGGAGTCTCCTTGGGAGACTTTGAGCAAGTCACACACTCTCAGCCTCAAAGATAGTCCAAGGCAAACCTCTTCTGAATAAATCCTATCCAACTACAACCCCCAGGATAGCGTTGAGCTATGGCAGTTCAAGGGCTGTCAGGCTGTGTGTAGAACTGTAGATGCACCCAGTGCAAAGCCAGAGGAGCACAGCAGAAAAGGAGGCCTGGCCCTTTAAGAGAGGTCTGGGCCGCCCCCAGCAGCCTCCCACTCGGGAGCCATTTCCCCAGCCAGCTCTCCAAGGGCGCAAAGCAGCTTCCCCTGGGTTTGTGTTTGTTTTGTGCTGTTGCAAAAAAAAGAGAAAAGTTTTGCTGAGGGGTAAAGAGCCATTTCAACGGGGCTGGAAAGATTTGGGTGAAGGAGGCGCTCCTAAACAGAAAGGTAGGTACCCAAGCTGCAGGTTGCACCTGCACTGTAGGATTAATGCAGTTTGGCACCACTTTAACTGCCAGGGCTCAAGGCTATGGGATCCTGGGAGTCACCGTTTCAAAGGTCTTTAGCCTTCCCTGGCAATGATTGCTGGGGACTTGCAAAAACTACAAATCCCATTGGACAGAGCCATGGCAATTCAAGTATTGCCAAACTGCATCCATTCTGCAGAGTAGATGCATTCACAACTCTGCAAACTTTAAAAGCGCATTGTTTTAAGGCTGGATCTAACTTCTCTTATATCCCAGGAGCTGATCCCGGATTATATATTCTTATCCCAGATTATATGACAGTGGGGACACATATAATCCGGTTCAAATATTAGATCAGACCCTGGAATATACACAGTATAGATCCAACCTTGGAGGGTCCTGATTAGTTTTAGTGAATTGTTTTGAACAGTTTTTTAAATATGTAGGTCTAATTTAAATACATTGTATTTTAGATGATTTGTTTTAGTAATTGCCCTAGTTTGGTTTTCTTGTAATGTTTACCCTTTTTGTGTGCTTTAATTGCATGTTTTTAAAGCTATTTTAGGGTTGTGAGCTGCTTTTGGGTTTCTTCTATACTGCCATGTAACCCAGATTATCAAAGCAGATAATCCACATTGTCTGCTTTGAACTGGATTATACGAGTCTACACTGCCACATAATCCAGTTCAAAGCAGATAATCTGTATTTTAGATGGCAGTGTAGAAGAGGTCTAGGCTAAACCTAATAATAATAATAATAATAATAATAATAATAATAATAATAATAATGGTGATGTTGCTTAATTTTTGTGCTCTTATTCTGTGCAATCCTGGGATTTGTAGGGTAGGTAGGGACTGGGATTTTACAGTGGTCCACCAAAAATCTCTAGTGCGACCTAGCCTGCATCTCCAATGCAGAATTAATGCAGTTTGGCACCACTTTGATACCATAGCATTGCCATGGCACAATGCTATGAAATCCTGGGAGATGTAGTTTCACAAGGACTTCTATTCTACCACACCCGGACTGCTGTGTCCAATTCTGAGCACCACAATGGAAGGGAGATGTTGACAAGCTGGAAGGTGTCCAGAGGAGGGCGACTAAAATGACCAAGGTTCTGGAGAACAAGCCCTGTGAGGAGCGGCTTAAAGAGCTTGGCTGAGAGGAGACATGATGAGCGCCATGTATAAATATATGAGAGGAAGTCATAGGGAGGAGGGAGCAAGCTTGCTTTCTGCTGCCCTGGAGACTAGGACGCAATGGAACAATGGCTTCAAACTATAGGAAAGAAAGGCTATTTCACCTGAACATGAGGAAGAACTTTTTAGCTGTAAGGAGAGCTGTTCAGCAGTGGAACTCTCTGTCCCAGTGAGGCTCCTTCTTTGGAGGCTTTTAAACAGAGGCTGGATGACCATCTGTTGGAGGTGTTTTGAACATGAGGAAGATCTTCCTGACTGTGTGAGCTGTTCAGCGGTGGAACTCTCTGCCCCAGAGTGTGGTGGAGGCTCCTTTGGAGGTTGGATGGCCATCTGTCAGGGGTGCTTTGAATGCGAATTTCCTGCTTCTTGGCAGGGGGTTGGACTGGATGGCCCACAAGGTCTCTTCCAACTCTATGATTCTATGATTCTAAGACAGTGTTTCTCAACCTTCCGCATGCCACGACCCCTTAATACAATCCCTTATGTTGTGGTGACCCCAACCATAAAATTATTTTCGTTGCTACTTCATAAATGTTATTTTGGTACTGTTATGAATCTGATAATAAATATCTGATATGCAGGATGTATTTTTATTCACTGGAACAAATTATCTGATATGCAGGATGTATTTTTATTCACTGGAACAAATTGGGCACATATGCCCAATACGTCCAAATCAGAATACTGATGGGGTTGGAGGGGCATCGATTATGTCATTTAGGAGTTGTCGTTGCTGGGATTTATAGTTCACCTACAATCACAGAGCATTCTGAACCGCCAACGATGGAATTGAACAAATCTTGGCACACAGAACTCCCATGGCCATCTGTTGGGAGTGCTTTGAACATTAGGAAGAACTTCCTGACTGTGTGAGCTGTTCAGCAATGGAACTCTGCCCTGGAGTGTGGTTAAGGCTCCTTCTTTGGAGGATTTTAAGCAGAGGCTGGATGGCCATCTGTCGGGGGTGCTTTGAACATTAGGAAGAACTTCCTGACTGTGCGAGTTGTTCAGCAGTGGAACTCTCTGCCCCAGAGTGTGATTAAGGCTCTTTCTTTGGAGGCTTTTAAACAGAGGCTGGATGGCCATCTGTCTGGCGTGCTTTGAACATTAGGAATAACTTCCTGACTGTGCGAACTGTTCACTAGTGGAACTCTCTGTCCCAGAGTGTGGTGGAGGCTCCTTCTTTGGAGGCTTATAAACAGAGGCTGGATGGCCATCTGTTTGGGGTGCTTTGAACATTAGGAAGAATTTCCTGACTGTGTGAGCTCTTCACCAATGGAACTCTGCCTTGGAGTGTGGTTAAGGCTCCTTCTTTGGAGGCTTTTAAGCAGAGGCTGGACGGCCATCTGCCGGGGATGCTTTGAATGTGATTTCCTTGCTTCGTGGCAAAATGGGGTTGGACTGGATGGCCTATGAGATCTCTTCCAACTCTAGGATTCTTCTCTGCCAAAGAGCATCACCAAGCTAAAAATCCCAGGTTTCTATAGCCTTGAGCCATGGCAGGGAACGTGTTTTCAATCTGCATTCATTCTCCAGTAAATCCAGCCTGTTTTGCTCAGGAAAGCCCCACTAAATCTATTGCCGTGTTGTCTTGACTTGTTCTGCTCTCCTTGCCTTGCAAATGTTTTTTCTCTCCCCTCTCGCCTTCCTTGTTATTCATCATGACCCTCCTGCCTTCATGCACTTCCTTTCTCGCTGTATCTCTTGTGCCTCCCACGCCTTCTTCTTTGCTCTTCTGTTTACATCTGGATTGTGTACGTTTCTCCAAGGCATTGGCATTAGATCTAAACATTCTGAAGGGCTTCGTCTATTCAAACCGTGCCAGCCTCCACCTTTCCACTTTATATAAAGCTGTGTTTCTCCACCTTCCTAATGCCGCAACCCCTTAAAACTGTTCCTCATGTTGTGGTGACCCCCAACCATAATATTATTTTAGTTGCTACCTCATAACTCTAATTTTGCGACTGTTATTAATCATAATGCAAATATCTGTCATGCAGGATGTATTTTCATTTACTGGACCAACTTTGTCACAAATACCCGATACGCCCGAGTTTGAATACTGGTGGGGTTGGGGGAGGGATTGATTTTGTCACTTGGGAGTTGTAGTTTCTGGGATCTATAATCAAAGAGCATTCTGAACTCCACCAACAATGGAATTGAACCAAACTTGGCACACAGGATTCCCATGACCAAGAGAAAATACTAGAAGGATGTGGTGGGCATTGGCCTTGAGTTTTGGAGTTGCAGTTCACCTACATCCCGAGAACCCGGTGGATTCAAATAATGAAGGCTCTAAACCAAATTTGGCATGAATACTCCATATGCCCAAATACGAACACAGAAGGAATTTGGGGGAAATAGAACTTGGCATTTGGGAGTTATAGTTGCTGGGATTTGTAGTTTACCTACATTCAAAGAACATTCTTAACCTCATCAACGATCCACTCAAGCAAAATGAGCCTAGTTGTCCTACTCTAATTGCAAGACATCTATATATATAAAAATGCTCTGTTCGTTTTGAGTGACATCATAACTCAAAAACTTCTGGATTAATTGCCACCGAATTTGACCACAAGACACCTACTAACCCAAGGAGTAACCCACGCAATTTTTTTTGATTTTGTCATTTGGGAGTTGTATTTGCTGGGATTTATAGTTCACCTACAATCAAAGAGCATTCTGAATTCCACCAACGATAGAATTGAACCAAACTTGGCACACAGGACTCCCATGACCAACAGAAAATACTGGAAGGCTTTGGTGGGCAGTGACCTTGAGTTTCCAGAGAACACTGTGGACTCCAACAAAGATGGATCTGGACCAAACTTGGCACAAATACTCAATATGTCCAAATGTGAACACTGGTGGAGTTTGGGGAAATTAGACCTTGATATTTGGGAGTTGTAATTGCCATGGTTTATAGTTCACCTACAAGCAAAGAGCATTCTGAACCCCATCAACAATAGAATTGGGCCATAGCTCCCACACAGAATCCCCATCACCAACAGAAAATACTGTGTTTTCAGGTGGTCTTTGGTGACCCCTCTGATACCCCCCTCGCAACCCCCCCCCCCTCATGACTCCCAGGTTGAGAAACACTGATATGAAGTGTGTTTTTCCTTATACCTTTGGGTGCCTCTACAGGTTGAGAACCACTGATCTGCACTGTAGAATGAATGCCGTTTGGAACCACGTTGAGTGCTATGGCTTAATGCTATGGAATCCTGGTAGTCATGGTTTTCCTTGGGCTTTAGTTTTCTCTGTCACAGAGTGTTGGTTCCTCACCAAACTACAATTCTCAGGATTCCATAGCGCTGAGCCATGGCACTTAAAGTGGTGTCAAACTGCATTAATTCTACAATATAGATACAGCCTTTGCAAGTATGTAGGCAATGGAAAGGAGGAGTGTGGTTTCTGCACAGTCAATTGCTTTTATCATTCAGATGGGTTTTTTTTTAAAGCAAGTTATTTTATTTATTTTTGAGAAATGGGGAAGTTACTTGTAAACATGTATTGTCGAAGGCTTTGTAAACATTTGCAAGTTTCACTGTAACTGCTGTTTTGAGCTTTGAAACAGTGAGTATTTCTGGGTTGCTGTGAGTTTTCTGGGCCATGATCCAGAAGCATTCTCTCCTGACATTTTGCCCACATCTGTGGCAGGC